TATATATATGTCGTGTCTATTTTGTTACACTTTAGTACACGTCTTCTACCATGTTAGTCATTCATGCCTATACTTGTTAACTTATAAAAATCATGCTTTTTCCTTCTTGTTAGTTATATTTACATCTAAACCTTCTACCATGTTAATTACTGAAATTTATGTTCTTCTATCATACTTGCCGTCATTACTTTTGTGCCCTCTATCTCGTCTATTTCTATTTTCTATATGCTTTCGACTTCTTATTTGTTACTTTTTGGGTACTCTCTACTTTTTGAACATTATTATTAGAAATTATTCTACCTGGTTGGTATTGCTATATGCATATTTGGCAAGGATGAGATAAACGCACAACGAGTGTTGTCGTGCTAATTGATTCGACACACACACNGATTATGAATTTACTACTGTGATTTCTCCTAGTAATCGTTTACTGCCTCGCATAGTTGTTTACAGTACCCTTATCTGTTGTGTTCTTAAACTGTCTATACTATTAGTCTACTGTACAGGTTATAACAGTAAGCATCTTTTAAACTAAAAATCCTCGTCACTACTTCGACGAGGTTAAACAAGATACTTACTAGGTACATGGGGTCGGTTGTACTCATACTACACTTCTGCGCCTTGCGTGCAGATTTTTGGAGCGAAGCTGCTTATGAAGCCGGGAGCTGACTCTAAAGATGTTCGTACATTCCGGATATAGCTGTCACTTGTCCTTGGTAGCCTTAGATCTTTTTTTTTGCTAATTTGTTTATGTAACTTTCAAACAGATCGTGTGATTATTTGTATCAGCTTTGTAAATTCCAAGTCTTAGAAGCTCATGATTCGTACTATCAGTCCTTGGGTTAACATATATAAATGTTCAGATAATTCTTCATTGTTTTCCTATAATGTCATTTGGATTGTAGTGACTGTTAATTGGCTTACCTAGCGGGTCGTTATAGGTGCCATCATGACTAATGATTTTTGGGTCGTGACAAAAACTCAAAACAAATAAGGTAACACAAAATTCCTGCAAATAGATTCTAATAAACGCAGATACCTACCACCCCCACCAAAAAAAAGTGAGCAAGCTGAATAACAGAAGCTCATGCTTGCAAACTTGGCAGAATGATGCATTTTTCCAAATTGTAGTGATGCATCAAACACATAATTTTGGATTGTAGTGATGCATTTTTCCAAATTGTCAGAATGGATCCTTTGCAGTCTTATAAAATTGCATTATGCAGCAAATAACACTACTCAGTACTCAGTAGTAGACAAGCATACTAGGAAATTTCGTCCAAGAAGGGCGACTAATAGCAATTTAGCCATAAAAGAAAATTTAGGCCTTTCATGTCTCAGTTTTAGGTAATAATTAGGCATGTCCCAGTTATTGGAAGGATATAGGTCAGAATTAGGTGTTTGATGTCCTGCAGTTTGACAAATATCCAAAACCAAGACAAACAAGCAGGCAAGCAAATTGAGGTGAAAATAATTAACTCCGCTAGACCATTGTTCCTATGATATCACCTCCCTCCACCAACAGACCATCCAAAGAAAAGTATTTTAAAAAAAAAGATTAAAACATAAGAAACAAGAGAAAAGAAAACTAAGATGGCTATGCATGAATGGATATAGTTACAGCTGAAATGAGTAGCATATAAGGATGCACCTGGTGAGTCCATGATTTCTAGTGTTATAAAATACACCTGTTTTGGCAGCAACACATGCCCCTGCACAAAGTTGAGAGCACATACGACCTGATGTTTGCGGGCTTAATCCTAATCATTTTGAGATTTAAGTTGTAATTCGTCCAACAATTAATCAACTTTCAAATATTTCTCTATGGAAGCACCACCAGTTTAATAAATACTGTTAAAGATGAAGAAAGGGCTGTGGCAGCAGCTATGCCGTGCACAAATTTGAGAACACACATGACCTGAGGTTCGTTAATCTCAAATCTTTCTGTATAGTTGTCATCTGTCCAACAGTAAATCGACTTCTCTTTGGAAATAGCCATTGGTTTAATAAATCAAAAATAAGTTAAACCCTTGCCAACGTCAAGATGTTATTCAATAAAACTTCAAAAAAAATTATCATCCTTACAAGAATGCAAAGAGTGCCAACTTTTACTCGTACATTTATGCGGCCAAAGTTTCTACTGTATCAAGGAATCTTGAGGTTGCACCAAATCCTTGAGTTGTTTCAACGAATGATACGAAAGGAGTCATTTGTGCAAGAGAATAATGGGAGAGAGGGTAGAGCTTCCAAAACTAAGAAGTCATAACAAATAGGACTTCTCATAACCTGGAAATTTAAGCGATTTTCTTGGTTTGTTTTCTCTTTCATAATTATCAGCTCAAGCAAGATTGAGCATTCATCACAATCCGTGCATCATTTCTACTTCCCCATCTGCTCTTTTTGAAGATAAACTTCAAACAAGATGAACTCCACCCATACGGGTCGTAAGAACAGAGATGAGCGGAGAAATCAGAAAGAAACAAAAGAATCCTTCAAAAGCTTGTTCAACTCGAATCACCGCATACTATAAATGAGGGCTTTCTTCTGATATGAAGTGATGACTTCAACCTATATTGATAAAGAACCACAAAGAATATTCTTAATCTGAACTTCAACTTCTTAGACTAACAATCTTGTGGGAATCCACTGTGTGGTTGTCGTCGTTGTTGTAATTAGATTAACAATCTTTTAAATGAATCCGCACAAACACCACTTGGCCAGTTAGTACCAACTTTTACAATCTTGAAATAAGAGAAAAAGATGAAGAAAAGTAGAGACAAAGCATCACATTTACCTATCAAGTAGCCAATATCAGCTCATTATCAACTAGAAAACGTGCTGCATTTCTTAATGACACCGAAGATTCTTCTTTTACAGAAACTTCCCAAGTCCACCCCACTTGTTTGGATTCAAATTGAATCAATGTCATTTGTTATCAACAATGTATAGTAACTCAATTAAAAACAGTAAGTCAAAGGAGATACACTAACAAAATGAGGACTATAACTTAATTTTCTGCAGGGGTGAGAAATCTCAAATCAACAGACCCAACAAAACATAGTTGGACCAACTTTTTACAAACATACATGGTATATGAACGAAAAGAAAATCAGCAAGACAGCTACTGTCATTCAAAGAACATACCAATGCCCTGATTCGAGCTACTGGGTTGACTGACAATCTTCCGCAAGATCACTGCTCGTGCCATCCTAATATCCTGGTTACATTTCTTGGCGTGCTGACTCAAAACCTCAATGGTCTCTGAAAAGCCATTTACATTCTTCTTGACCTCTTCCATTGCACTTGCGACTGCATCAGTTCCCCTAATTGCAAAATCAGCACTATGCAACAACCCCTCAACAATTATCTGCAATTTATCAGCCAAAACCCGAATATGCTCCAAGTCTTGAATCACAACAAAACTGCCAGCCTCCATCGAAGTCAATATCTCCCTCTCCCTCTTCAACTCATCCTCATACTTCTTCCACATTGAATTGATCCATTTCCCCACTGTCCCCAATGGCACTGAGGCTGCAGCTGCTAACGCCGTCACAATTGGCGGCGCTGTGACTGCTGCAGCAACAATTGAGCAAATGATAGCAGAAACAAACACAGTAGCAAAAATTATATTAGAAACTCTCTTCCATGTCTTTACTCTGCTCAATTTCTTATCAAGTTTATTCTTTTTCGACTTCAATTTCATCAACAAAGCTTCTTGCTGCAAATAAACTGAGTGAAATGATGAAAAGAACCTCGCAGTAAAAGGGTCACCAGCAGCTTTAAAACTCTTCAACTGTTCCAAAGTTTCCGAAAACAGAAGCTTTGAATCCCCTTCATTTCCACTGCTCTCATTCTCAAACTTAGTCAATGCAACAAGAATTATAGACTGACTAGTACGTGCACGTTCAAGAGAGTCATCAAGTGAAGAACAGAAGTTCATAATGTGAATACTGCTTTCAAGATAATCCTTAACAAGATCAAATAAATCAGGGTCTTTCCAAATGTCTTTTTTGCTTTCAAGAATGAAATTGACAACCCCTTGGTTCATATCTAAGAAGCATAAAGTAACCTCACGTAAAGAGTCAAGAGAAAGGGACCTAGGGTCCATGTTAACAGCTATGGAATTGAGTGCTAACGATGTCCTTGCTTGAAGAGCTGAATCAAACCGTTGAAGTTCTGGATCTTCTTCACATGCTGATTGGTATGAGCTTAGATCTGGTGAAATATCAGAATTTGAGCTTGTTTCTGGTCGTGTCGCCGGTAAACCTGCCGGCGCCGGAGGAGAAGATGGTGGGGTCTTGTTTTGGGGTCTAGCACACTGATTACCCATTTTCTTGCAAAAATTTCACACACAACAAAATGAGCTTGTAAATATGAGGTTTTAGGGGTCCTAAAAAGTGAGTTTAAGATTCGTGCGTGAGAGAGTGGAGTGGAGGGGGTAACTGCTAGGAAGTAACATGAGGAAGGGGATGATGACAAACANTAATTGGAATTTGGAATTTTCAAATGTAGAATCTTCTTTTTATTGTCTGAAAAAGACATGGTAGATATATGACAAGGATACACTAACAGAGTTTGATGAGACAAAGTAGATTTTATTGTCTAAATTATTGTAGTGTGTGCTTTGGAAATGTTGTACCTTGTGCATTGAGGTTTACGGCAACAAAACGTTTTGGAATTTTAAATTTTCAGAAGATAATAAGGTGGCTGGTCAACTTTAAGGAAAATACTATTTTACATTTTTAAAATCTGAGTGATATATCTAAAGCACCCAAAAAACGGTAGTTAATAGAAAAAGATACAAATATATATTTTAAAAGAAGAGAAAGGAAAAAAGAATTTCTTAAATGCAACAATCATCATATTTCGGCTTCTGTTGCGTTTTGCATCTCTAACGTACGCCTTTTTTGTGATCTGCGCCATGTTATTTTATTTTTTATTGTGTGATTTGCACGCCCACTTCTTTATTTCTTTGCAAAACATAAAAATTAATCTTCTTTAATTTTCCAAGAGGGAAAAATAGTAAGTACAAATAATAACTAAAAAAAGAACTTTAAAAAAAAAAGACATTGGTCTCTTTCCCCTAATTATTAATGGGATTATTTCCTTTCTATACATTATTTGAAACTTATTTATTAAAATTGTCCTAATTTTGTATATTACCCGCCCTAAACAAAGATTATTTACAAATTATACATATTTCACCTTAAAAGGCTCCCAATCCATTATTAATGACTTAAATTAGGGGGTTCTTTGCTTGGAAAATAGCATAACTAAAGGGAATAATGGTGTTAACCACGTTTGAGTATCTGATGGTGGCAATATGTCACGACCCGGAATTTCCATTGTCGGGATGGTGATGACGCCTAACATTTCACTTGCTAGGCAAGCCAACGTTAGAACATTTTATCCATTTTTAACAATTTAAATTAAATAATGAGAAAGAACTGAAATAACTGAAATAATTTAAAGTATAAATGCGGAAGCTAAAACTACCAAACATCTGCTACAAATTCCTGAACCCGGTGTCACAAGTGCACGTGCTACTAAAATAATACATACAAGGGTCTGAAATAAATACAAAGCTATTAGAATGAAAATACACATCTAAATAAAAGGAAGAGTAGGGGACTCTAGGAGTCGCGGGCGCTGAGCAGCTGTACCTCAAGTCTGTGTACGTTGTCCAATCCGAGCTCACTGATAACCGCTACTGGGACCGACTCTAAATTCTTTGCAGAGTGTAGTATGAGCACAACCAACCCCATGTAATTTGTAAGTGCCGAGCCTAATATCGACGAAGTAGTGACAAGGCTAAGGCGGGTCCCCTACACTACAACTTGTACGCAGTATATAATAATGACAGAAAACGAAAATACGGAACGGGATAGAACAGTCAACTTAGAATAATAACTACAGCCTCAAGAAATAAACCAGTATTGTCTAGAATTACCAATCCTTAGCATTTCAAATGAGAATACTGAAAACCAACACAACTCAAGAAATGGAAACACATAGGTTGTTGCGACGTGCAACTTGATCCTACCGTACAACACAGAATCCTCCCTTATTTTACCATAATAACATCAACAACAGAGATAATATATAAATGTTGCGGCAACCGAAGGGCCACGACGGGAACCCGATACTTTACTCAACCGAGTACCAACGTAACATATCTTTCTTATCGTACTATCATTGGTAAAAGGGTCGTCATGAGATAATCAGAGTAAAACATAAGGGAATACTAGACATAGAATGACCCAACATGATATAGAAACTTTTACATGTAACATGCGGGCCTATAAGGCCGACATGATCATTTGTAAACTCAAGACATAGGCCGACAAGGCCATATAAGTATCCATATACCTGACATTTGTCTACATCAACAATAGAGATAATATATAAATATTGCGGTGCCCAACCCGATCCTACCATGTATCAATATCAGTATTTTAATTCACCCTTATTTCACCATATCAATCTACCCTTATTCCACCTGTTGCGGCGTGCAACCCGATCCTACTGTACAATACAAGTTTACCCTTATTCTACCATATCAATCCACCCTTATTCCACCTTATCAATCCACTCTTATTCCATTAATGCAGCGTGCAACTCGATCCTACCATATCAGTACCAAATATTCAATGTGCATAGTAAAATTAACAATTCAAACCACGAACACCTTTACGATCAATAAATACCAAATTGAACCAGAGAGGAAAACCTTGTATAACATAAGAATCTACATAAGTAATACTACACAACGAGATCAATCCAGTAATTGACAATTAGAAGGTGCAGCTTGGTAAACCACATCTGCGATGCCGTAGGAGCGGTAAGCCAACTGCAGATGCGAGGGCTGTGATGTTAAGTGAAATTCGCAGAAGCGGATATTTTCCGCAGAAGTGGAAGCGTAGGTGCGCTTAGGGGATCGCAGGTGTGGAATCCATAGGGAAGAAAGTATATAAGCTCCCCTTCGCGAATCTTGCTCATTCTTCCACCATTTTTGGTCAATTTTGGAGCTCCAAGCAGTGATTTCAAGGGGGAATCAAGTGTTTTCAGTGAGGTAAGCTACTTGGACCTTATATCTTGTGTTTATGGCAATTATTCCCTTGCTTAATCATGATATTAGTGGGAAAATTTGAGAAGAAATTTGGAGATTAGGGCTTGAAATTCGAGAGTTTAAATTGGGGATTTGAAGGGCCATTTGAGGTCCGAGTTTGATGATTTTTGGTATGTATAGACTCGGGAGTGAAAGGAGGTTTTAGTTTTGCAATTTTGTTGGATTCCGAGACGTGGGCCCGGAGGTCGGGTTTGCGAAAGTTCGGGATTTTGGATCTAATTTGATAATTTTCGTGTGGGTTTTGTTCCTTTGGCATGTATTGATGATATGATTTTGATTACGGATAGATTCGGGGCGATTTGAGGCCGAGTCGAGAGGCAAGAGCATTTCGGAGTAAATCTTCGTCCGGTTTGAGGTAAGTAATGACTGTAAATCTTGTCCTGAGGGTATGAAACCTCGGATTTTACATCGTTTCACTACTTTAAGGTGATGCACACGCTAGATGAAGAGGGTGGGGGAGCGCACCATTGGGGATTGTGGCTTGGTCCGTCCCGTACGACTATTAATTCATATATTTGACTGAAACTATTTGATACTACTGTGCTTTAGAAAGTATTACTATGTTTTGGGTTGAATGCCATATTTGGGCCTCGTGCCAAGCTATTTGGACCCTTAGGGGCATTTTACTACTATTCCTCACTGTTTTGATTTAATATCTATTTTGATACTATAAAAGATATTTTGGGCTGAACACCCTGTTTTACTGTTAGCCCGGGTGGTTTGAGAGGTTTCTGACTAAGTAAGGCCGAGGGCCTGTGTTGTGAGGATATTATAGGATCGGGCTACACGCTGTAGTAGGTTGTTACTGATTCATAATATTGTGAGGCCGAGGGACTGATTGATTTATGGCACGAGGTGGCTTGATGTTATGAGGCTGAGGGCTTGACTGATTATGCCAAGAGATGGCTTGTTATAGTGCTTGGGTTGTAGGAGCCCCTTAGGAGTCTGAACACCCCCAGTGAGCGCGGGTACCTAGAATGAGTGATATGATGTTTCCCGAGGGGCTAATCTTGATTCATGTTGTGCCCGAGGAGCTGACTATGAGTGACTGTAAGGTAGCCTGAGGGGCTGGTTCTGATCGATGTTATGCTCGAGGGGCGGTTTATGATACATGTCTTGCCCGAGGGGCTGTTTGTGATTTATATTGCCCGAGGGGATGTACACGAGTGAGTTTTTCCTGAGGGGCTGATTATGGTTTCACTATTTTTACTCACTATTTTATCACTTTGTTTTAAAAATTATTGAAAAACATTTTCAAAGGATTTTTACTGAAATTGGAAATTTTAACGAGATGATTTGATTTATATACTGTTTTGGAAACATATTGTACTTATTGTGGTGTTATAATGTGGATTATGTGTTTTCTTACTGCTCAGTCTCTATTTACTTTTATTACTTACTGAGTTGGCGTACTCACATTACTCTCTGCACCTTGTGTGCAGATTCAGGTATTTTTGAACTAGGTGGCGGGTGTTGATTACTCAGTGGCAGGTTCAGTGGAGTTAGCAAGGTAGCTGCCTGACAATCGCAATCCTGCTTTCCTCCCTCCACATTCTCCCTTAATTGTATTCAGTGATTTTCCCGGCCATGTTGGTCTTAATGTTGTCAGACAGTGGTAGTAAATGATCATGACTAGTGACACCCTGATGTCAGGCTTTCTTTCCGCACTGTTATTTTGTTTTAAATACTTTTTAAAGGTTTATTGTTAAATAGCTTGATTTTATCCTAAAAATAAAAATATTGATTGGTTTTGATTTTGTGTCGGCTGGCCTACTTACATGATAGGCGCTATCACGACTGGGTTAGTTTTGGGTCATGACAGCCACTCACATGAGATTCATATAACATAATCCGAGGGTTCCTAATTCTCTCAAGTCAAGGTTTGACACAACACTTACCTCACTCCATAGTCAATTTAGAGCTCTACAGGGCCTTTCCCCTAGAATCCGCCTATCTAGTCATAATTGACTTAATAATATCAAATATTGCTAAAGGAATCAATTACATTGCATAAATTTAGAATTTCCAAACTTTTCCCCAAATAAGTCAAAAATTGATCCCGGCCCCGCTTGGTCAAAACCTGAGGTTCGGACCAAATTTATTTACCCATTCACCTCTGAGCTCGGTTATGTAATTAGTTTAGAAAATCCGACCTCAAATTGAGGTCTAAATCCCCAATTTGTAAACTCCCCTCCCCAATTCTTCATAAATCCCTAGTTTTCTACCATGGAAGAACAAAGATTAGGGCTAGGAATTACTAGGTGATATTAGAAATGAAAGAAAATGAGTTAAAGTATACAAACCTATGAATTGATGTTGAATTTTGTAATGACCAGGCTGGTCATTT